ACACTGTGGTCCGAGTGGGCGGCCGGAGCGCATTAAGGGTGTTCTGTTAGAGCGGTGTCGTGTTAGCGGCCGCTAAGTTAATAACTAATGATCTCTGCAACGGAAGTGAATCGATCAAAACTAACTTTATCTGGATAATAACTTTATTCTAGAGCTGCTGTAAAACATCTATATTGTTAAAGCTCTGTATAGATGGAGACTTGAGGAGACCTCTACTTTCCCAGAACGGCTCCTTCAGCAGGAGACGGAGAGGCTTCTGCACTCGCTCCTCTAGAGAACAGGTCTGGGACCAGTGGACACACACGCACACACACACACTGCACACCTTACACACAGGCTTCAGTTGCTTAGGCTAATGCCAGAACACATTACAGGAGTGTGTGAGGGTTCGGGTTAGGAGTGGTGTCAGACCATGCATGGGGAAGCTATTATGCCTATGTTTTTTTATTTATGGGCCTAAATACAGCAGGAAAAAGTTCATGTTTTATTCAAAAATGTATTTGGGCAAGCTAAAATGGCAAGTTGGTTTCACGAAAAGGAAAATTGAATGATGGGGTTTTAAAGGGGTTAATGAAGTCCTGTATAGAGTTGAGCTATTATAATGACTTGGATGTTTTCAGATGTTAATGGTGCATAAACACGTTTTTACGATGTTGACCCTGATGATGTCTTCAAATGTATGCATGAGTGGAGTTTTTATGATTGTAAAGGAAAGGACAGAAAAAGAGGGGCAGAGTAAAGCCGTGAGCCGTGCGGAGCGGTGATGTACAGTGAGTGTGGAGCGGGGCGTTGTTCGGCTCGACGCGGAGCTATAGACCCCTCCGCTGCTCTACACTCACTGTCAAACACACCGTCGAGCGGCTTACTGCTTTACAACACACTTACTCCAAAACAATATTCATAAAATAAATACCAGCAACAAAAAATATAACGTTATAACACAATTAATCCTCTGCCAAGCAGCAGTTGCGCAGTAACACTGATGTAATGTGTGTGTGTGTGTGTGTGTGTGTGTGTGTAACACTACTGTAATGCGGTCACAGGTGTGTGTGTGTGTGTGTGTGTAACACTACTGTAATGCGGTCACAGGTGTGTGTGTGTAACACTACTGTAATGCGGTCACAGGTGTGTGTGTGTGTGTGTGTGTGTAACACTACTGTAATGCGGTCACAGGTGTGTGTGTGTGTGTGTGTGTAACACTACTGTAATGCGGTCACAGGTGTGTGTGTGTGTGTGTAACACTACTGTAATGCGGTCACAGGTGTGTGTGTGTGTGTGTGTGTGTAACACTACTGTAATGCGGTCACAGGTGTGTGTGTGTGTGTGTGTGTGTAACACTACTGTAATGCGGTCACAGGTGTGTGTGTGTGTGTGTGTGTAACACTACTGTAATGCGGTCACAGGTGTGTGTGTGTGTGTGTAACACTACTGTAATGCGGTCACAGGTGTGTGTGTGTGTGTGTGTGTGTAACACTACTGTAATGCGGTCACAGGTGTGTGTGTGTAACACTACTGTAAATTAATGCGGTCACAGGTGTGTGTGTGTGTGTGTGTGTAACACTACTGTAATGCGGTCACAGGTGTGTGTGTGTAACACTACTGTAATGCGGTCACAGTTGTGTGTGTGTGTGTGTGTGTGTGTAACACTAATGCGGTCACAGGTGTGTGTTTGTAACACTAATGCGGTCACAGGTGTGTGTGTGTAACTACTGTAATGCGGTCACAGGTGTGTGTGTGTGTGTGTGTGTGTGTGTGTGTGTGTGTGTGTGTGTGTGTAACACTAATGCGGTCACAGGTGTGTGTTTGTAACACTAATGCGGTCACAGGTGTGTGTTTGTGGAGTCATTCACAACGGCTTCGAACGCGGCTCAACCAATCAGAATCAAGGACCGGAACTATCCGTTTTATCAGCTTTATTTTATTTTAGAAACGAGTGTTGGCGTTTCTAAGATGCGTTTTTACATCTTGAGACTGTTTTCTAAATCCATTTCGCTCGTTTATAGCTGTTTATTTTTTTTTATTTTTTTTTTTTTTTTAGCTTTTTACTCAAAATGTTATATCTTTAATGTTTTTGTAAATAAGTGATCTTAAAGTCAGGAAAGCCCCCCCGGGAGTGTCCCGGTCTCGGTTGGCAGGGTGACAGTCCTCGAGTGTGTAAGCTCGTGCTATTGTCCGCGGGCCAGCGGCTGCCATGGAGACGCACTGATATGACACAGGGAAATGTTTGCTGATGGCCATTCTATGGGCTTTGTCCCACTCGCTCTCTTTCATGACGACTCGATTTAAGTCTCCGAATGTTTGACTACAAACGCGAGAGTGCTCTCCGGCTCCCCGGCTTTGTCCCGCGGGTTTGAATGAGTAATTCAGCTTTTGTGTGTGTGGATTGAGGGGGCAAACAGAGAGACAAGATTCCTGAGCGCTCGAGCCGCTTCCCATGGTTATGCGGGATCAGACTGGGATCGGGATGGGGAACAGGAGCGTGGCGCTTCACCGGCCCTTTACAAACACATTGTGCCCGAGGGGAACCGGTGACCGTTTCTACGGAGAAACATCGCGTCTGCGCGCTATTTTCCTGAGGGATTTCCATGACAACTATTTGTGGTGGCAAAGAATCCGACACCGGGCTCATTGTGAGGAGACTGCGGGCTGTGATTGGCTCAGAGCAGTGATACACCGAGTCTATAGGCATTGAGCTTCAGTGAGTGTTATTACAGAGAGCGTCCCTTCTGTGCGCACTACCCGGGAACGGGACAGCAGATGCGCGGGCCTGAGCGCGGAGGTTTGAACGCTCCGGGTGAACGCGTGCGATGGCCAACGCTGACAGCGAGGTGAAGACGCTCCTGAACTTCGTGAATCTGGCGTCGAGCGACATCAAGGCGGCGCTGGACCGATCCGCGCCCTGCAGACGCTCCGTGGACCACCGCAAATACCTGCAGAAACAGCTCAAGCGCTTCACGCACAGGCCCGCAGACCCACGCGCGCGCGCCCGGCCCAACGCGCCGGACCCGAGCCCGAACCCCGCGGGTCACGTGCCCATGCGCGCGCGCCAGCTCCCGGCGTCCTTCTGGCAGGAACCGCGCACCCCGGGCACCCGCGCGCGTCTCCAGCACCTGCTGAGGAACAGCGCGAGCGGCCCTGCGAGCGTCAAATCTCACGCAGAGAAAAGGAAGATGATTCGCGATAATAATAATAATCACCCGCACGCGGAGCCGCCGAGGAGGAGCGCGCCGTGCGCGTGCGTGTGCGCGTGCTGCCCTCTTCAGTGTCACGCGCTGCACGCGGACGCGCCTCTCAGGAACAGAACAGCGGAGGCGCGCGGCTTCATCGACGGACTCCGCGGTAACGCGCATGTGGTGATCAAGCCGATTCCCACGAAGCCCGCGATCTCCTCCTCCATCTTCAGCGTGTTCGGCTTCATCTAGTGCTGGAGGACCACAGCACCACTACAGGACTACTAACCTTCTTCAGCTCTTCTGTTTAACCCATTCCTGACACGTGCTGCACATGCACGAGCAATGTTTATGATCACGCGCCTGTGAGCACTTAAAGTACAGATGTAGCAGGAATAATACACACGTGCGGTGGTTATTTTATTGGCTTTTGTGCAGTTGGAAAGCGAGGACATCAAGATATGATCACAGCATTGCTTTAGTTTACACGCATCATCAGGTGACTCTCTGTAGAATGAGTTTTCATTTAACAATCGTCCTCTGTTCCAGATCACTTCCCTGAACCAGCATGATTTCACTGTGATGTAGAGATAGATCAGTATTTATTATGATTTTTTAGTTGAGATGTTGTTCTGTCACACTAATTAAGCCTGGTCATAATCCAGGTCTTGTGCTGAATTAGCTCATTAAAACTGGTAATCGACTGCGTTACACTGTCTGCTCATTACTGACACACTCAAACCACACATGAAATAAGCAGAGCCTTTTATTCTGCACTCGCCAGTGACATACTCTGTGTTTTCAGATCATCAAAATACATAAAATTGTGTATCAAACAAATACAAACACAAAATACAAATACAAACAAAAAAATTCAAGATCATAAATTAAAATGTATAAATAGCAACTTGAAGACCAAACACTCAATTCATAAGAGGTAATCTCACAGCACCAGTGTTTAAATGTCCAGCAGAAATAATGTTTCAGAATAAATTATTTGTTTCTGTGTTGTGTTGGAGCCGGTTCTGGATCTAAGGGCCGATTCTGGAGTTCAGGGGCCAGTTCTGGAGCTCTGGAGCCGGTTCTGGAGATCAGGCGTCGGGCCCGGAGCCGGTTCTGGAGCTCTGGAGCCGGTTCTGGAGATCAGGCGTCGGGCCCTTAGCCAGTTCTGGAGCTCAGGTGTTGGAGCCGGAGCCGGTTCTGGATCTAAGGGGCGGGTTCCAGATCTCAGGAGCCGGTTCTGGATCTAAGGGGCGGGTTCCAGATCTCAGGAGCCGGTTCTGGAGATCAGGGGCCAGTTCTGGAGTTCAGGGGCCAGTTCTGGAGTTCTGGAGCCGGTTCTGGAGATCAGGCGTCGGGCCCGGAGCCGGTTCTGGAGCTCAGGAGCCGGTTCTGGAGCTCTGGAGCCGGTTCTGGAGATCAGGCGTCGGGCCCTTAGCCAGTTCTGGAGATCAGGGGCCGGTTCTGGAGCTCAGGTGTTGGAGCCGGTTCTGGATCTAAGGGGCGGGTTCCAGATCTCAGGAGCCGGTTCTGGATCTCAGGGTCGGTTCTGGAGCTCAGGCGTCGGGCCCGGAGCCAGTTCTAGAGCTCAGGTGTTGGAGCCGGAGCCGGTTCTGGATCTTAGGGGCGGGTTCCAGATCTCAGGAGCCGGTTCTGGATCTCAGGGGCGGGTTCCCCATCTCTGCAGCCGGTTCTGGAGCTCAGGCGTCGGGTCCGGAGCCGGTTCTGGATCTCAGGGGCGGGTTCCCGATCTCTGCAGCCGGTTCTGGAGCTCAGGGGCCGGTTGCAGATCTCAGGAGCTGGTTCTGGAGCTCAGGCGTCGGGTCCGGAGCCGGTTCTGGAGCTCAGGGGCCGGTTCCAGATCTCAGGAGCTGGTTCTGGAGCTCAGGTACCGCAGCACGGGCCCCGGCAGCGGCAGCGAGTCGATGGACCTCAGTCTCCGGGTCCCCAGCTGCTCTCGGACCCTCAGCCGGCACAGGTGCATCAAGGGCCGAGGGGACGCTGCAAACACACAGATACACTCACACACTCATCATCCTCACACTGTAACAGACTGTTAATGTGTGTATGAAAGTCTCAAAATCTGAAAATCATAATTGAAAATCATAATTCCTAACTGAAATTGTCTTCTGTGTACGAAACAAAGGAAAGCATTAAAGACAAACAGAATTTATATTATGAAAGTGTGGCTGTTATTTTAAACAGCTGTGGTTGAAAGGTTCGCTCCCGATCAGCTGAATGGAGTCCAGGGAAACAGGAATGAAGAAGCCGATGATGAAGACTCACATGTTCTGAGGCTGATGCTGGGCCACTCGGGAGCGTCCCGGAGCAGAGCCGTGGTTCTGCTGCACAGCTGGACGTTTCCCACACACTCCAGCAGCAGATCCACGACCTCAGCGGCGGCCCGGCTCCAGCGGGGGGACGAGATCCAGGAGCAGAACTGACACAGAACACACAGTTCACAGCAGGCCCACAGCAAACAACACTTATACATGGGACTGGTAGTCACTGCATGAAGAATATTTGGGTGTAATATGTCACAGTTTACTTTATTTTGCTCTCCTCACTTACATAACTGAACTATAGTGTCCTGCACACACTAGAGAAAACATATATATAAAAAAGATATCTGGAGCCTCATTTATAACCGTTGCGTACGCACAAAACAGGCCCTGAAAGAGGCGTACGCCACTCCCGACGCATAAGATGTGATTTATAAAAACAAACTTGACGGAAAAATGTGCGCACCGGCACGCAAACTCTGACCCGTGCGTACGAACGTTCTGGAGACGGAGCAGTTTGGCGACACCGATGGTGAGCTGGAGTTAAATGTCTTTTTGGTCACTTTTAGACAGAAAATCTAAAGAAAATGATACATAGGCTATACAGAAAGATAATACAAATATAATTTCACTCACTAAGCATATCACTTGAGGCAAATATTCATCCCTTCTTAAATGTCCGCGCCAGCGAGCGCGTTGGGCCGTTTAGTGAAACTAACGCCTATCTAACGACAGTCCTAATCATAAAAACAGTGCATGTTCACAACAGTTTAAATAAATAAAAGAATGATTTAAACTGTTTTACTTCTGATATAAACATTTAGATTAAATATGCCATTGTCATTGATGGAGTTAAACACTTAAACATGAAATCATTACTGAGACGTTACAACATTTTTTATATTCAATAAATATAAATATTTGTTGTGGATGCAATGCTTTTGAACACGTTTCCTCTGGCATGCTGTGTTTTAATGTTTTAACTAAAGAGAGAATTGCTTATAGCAGATTGTCTGAGAAAATAGTTTCGTGCAAATAATGCACAACAGTCTATCTGTTTCCATTAAAAATATAAATCAATAAAAAATACTATTTGGTCAGTGGAAAAGATTGTGAAAACTTTCTCTGAAATGTATTTTACACTATTTGATTTATTTATTCAAAAACAAGGCAAGGATAGGCTACTAAATTATTTTTATTAATGTAGGCTAATGTGACGGCACATCCGTATTAGGCTATTTCATATTTTCCTAATGTCTATACCGTTAAACATGTTATCACGTGGATGAATAATCATATGCAAATGATATGCAGATGAGGATATGCATAGTAAAACTAGGCGTTGTAAGCTCATATATGGTTATTTCGGGGAGGAGACGCGTGTGCGCACAATCTTCCGCTGACTGAGATTTATCGGGATTTATAAAGTGAATTCTGCGCAGGTTCTGGCGTACGCACGGTTTTATAAATCTGAATATTTTTTTGCGTACGCCATTTTTGGCTTTCGGACGCACGTACACTTTTAGTAAGGATCCTACACACAGTTTTATAAATGAGGCCCCTGGTGTCGGAATAATGTTTGCTTTGACTCTCGATTGCCTTGATGTGTTTTATGAGTCGCATTTCCCTCGGGATACGGGTTTTCACACCCCGTGCAGAGCTTTAGTGCACTCATTGTCTTCGGAATTAATCTTTAATCACAATTGACCCTTCGCAGGGAGTTTGATTGACAGGCGATCTGACCAATCATAATTTGCATAATCTGAGTGTCGTCTGAGTGTCGTCTGAGTGTCGTCTGAGTGTCGTCAGAGTGTCGTCTGAGTGTCGTCTGAGTGTCGTCAGAGTGTCGTCTGAGTGTCGTCAGAGTGTCGTCTGAGTGTCGTCTGAGTGTCGTCTGAGTGTCGTCTGAGTGTCGTCTGAGTGTCGTCTGAGTGTCGTCTGAGTGTCGTCTGTGTGTCGTCTGAGTGTCGTCAGAGTGTCGTCTGAGTGTCGTCAGAGTGTCGTCAGAGTGTCGTCTGAGTGTCGTCTGAGTGTCGTCTGAGTGTCGTCAGCGTGTCGTCTGAGTGTCGTCTGAGTGTTGTCTGAGTGTCGTCTGAGTGTCGTCAGCGTGTCGTCTGAGTGTCGTCTGAGTGTTGTCTGAGTGTCGTCTGAGTGTCGTCAGAGTGTCGTCTGAGTGTCGTCAGAGTGTCGTCAGAGTGTCGTCTGAGTGTCGTCTGAGTGTCGTCTGAGTGTCGTCAGAGTGTCGTCTGAGTGTCGTCTGAGTGTCGTCTGAGTGTCGTCTGAGTGTCGTCAGAGTGTCGTCTGTGTGTCGTCTGAGTGTCGTCTGAGTGTCGTCTGAGTGTCGTCTGAGTGTCGTCTGAGTGTCGTCAGAGTGTCGTCTGAGTGTCGTCTGAGTGTCGTCTGAGTGTCGTCTGAGTGTCGTCAGAGTGTCGTCTGAGTGTCGTCAGAGTGTCGTCTGAGTGTCGTCAGAGTGTCGTCTGAGTGTCGTCAGAGTGTCGTCTGAGTGTCGTCTGAGTGTCGTCAGTGTGTCGTCTGAGTGTCGTCTGAGTGTCGTCTGAGTGTCGTCAGTGTGTCGTCAGTGTGTCGTCTGAGTGTCGTCTGAGTGTCGTCAGTGTGTCGTCTGAGTGTCGTCTGAGTGTCGTCTGAGTGTCGTCTGAGTGTCGTCTGAGTGTCGTCAGTGTGTCGTCTGAGTGTCGTCTGAGTGTCGTCTGAGTGTCGTCTGAGTGTCGTCAGAGTGTCGTCTGAGTGTCGTCTGAGTGTCGTCAGTGTGTCGTCTGAGTGTCGTCTGAGTGTCGTCTGAGTGTCGTCTGAGTGTCGTCAGAGTGTCGTCTGAGTGTCGTCTGAGTGTCGTCAGAGTGTCGTCAGAGTGTCGTCTGAGTGTCGTCTGAGTGTCGTCAGAGTGTCGTCTGTGTGTCGTCTGAGTGTCGTCTGAGTGTCGTCTGAGTGTCGTCAGAGTGTCGTCTGAGTGTCGTCTGAGTGTCGTCTGAGTGTCGTCTGAGTGTCGTCTGAGTGTCGTCAGAGTGTCGTCTGAGTGTCGTCTGAGTGTCGTCAGAGTGTCGTCTGAGTGTCGTCTGAGTGTCGTCTGAGTGTCGTCAGCGTGTCGTCTGAGTGTCGTCTGAGTGTCGTCTGAGTGTCGTCAGAGTGTCGTCAGAGTGTCGTCTGAGTGTCGTCTGAGTGTCGTCAGAGTGTCGTCTGAGTGTCGTCAGAGTGTCGTCTGAGTGTCGTCTGAGTGTCGTCTGAGTGTCGTCTGAGTGTCGTCAGAGTGTCGTCAGAGTGTCGTCTGAGTGTCGTCTGAGTGTCGTCTGAGTGTCGTCTGAGTGTCGTCAGAGTGTCGTCTGAGTGTCGTCTGAGTGTCGTCTGAGTGTCGTCTGAGTGTCGTCTGAGTGTCGTCTGAGTGTCGTCAGAGTGTCGTCAGAGTGTCGTCTGAGTGTCGTCTGAGTGTCGTCTGAGTGTCGTCAGAGTGTCGTCTGAGTGTCGTCAGTGTGTCGTCAGAGTGTCGTCAGTGTGTCGTCAGAGTGTCGTCTGAGTGTCGTCTGAGTGTCGCCTGAGTGTCGTCTGAGTGTCGTCTGAGTGTCGTCAGAGTGTCGTCTGAGTGTCGTCAGAGTGTCGTCTGAGTGTCGTCTGAGTGTCGTCAGTGTGTCGTCTGAGTGTCGTCTGAGTGTCGTCAGAGTGTCGTCTGTCTGAGTGTCGTCTGAGTGTCGTCAGTGTGTCGTCTGAGTGTCGTCAGAGTGTCGTCAGAGTGTCGTCTGAGTGTCGTCTGAGTGTCGTCAGAGTGTCGTCTGAGTGTCGTCAGAGTGTCGTCTGAGTGTCGTCAGAGTGTCGTCTGAGTGTCGTCAGAGTGTCGTCTGAGTGTCGTCAGAGTGTCGTCAGAGTGTCGTCTGAGTGTCGTCAGAGTGTCGTCAGAGTGTCGTCTGAGTGTCGTCTGAGTGTCGTCTGAGTGTCGTCAGAGTGTCGTCTGTCTGAGTGTCGTCTGAGTGTCGTCTGTGTGTCGTCTGAGTGTCGTCTGAGTGTCGTCTGAGTGTCGTCAGAGTGTCGTCTGAGTGTCGTCTGAGTGTCGTCTGACTGTCGTCTGAGTGTCGTCTGAGTGTCGTCTGAGTGTCGTCAGAGTGTCGTCAGAGTGTCGTCTGAGTGTCGTCTGAGTGTCGTCAGAGTGTCGTCTGAGTGTCGTCTGAGTGTCGTCAGAGTGTCGTCTGAGTGTCGTCTGAGTGTCGTCAGAGTGTCGTCTGAGTGTCGTCTGAGTGTCGTCAGCGTGTCGTCTGAGTGTCGTCTGAGTGTTGTCTGAGTGTCGTCTGAGTGTCGTCAGCGTGTCGTCTGAGTGTCGTCTGAGTGTTGTCTGAGTGTCGTCTGAGTGTCGTCAGAGTGTCGTCTGAGTGTCGTCTGAGTGTCGTCAGAGTGTCGTCTGAGTGTCGTCTGAGTGTCGTCAGAGTGTCGTCTGAGTGTCGTCTGAGTGTCGTCAGAGTGTCGTCTGAGTGTCGTCTGAGTGTCGTCAGAGTGTCGTCTGAGTGTCGTCTGAGTGTCGTCTGAGTGTCGTCAGCGTGTCGTCTGAGTGTCGTCTGAGTGTCGTCAGAGTGTCGTCTGAGTGTCGTCTGAGTGTCGTCAGAGTGTCGTCTGAGTGTCGTCTGAGTGTCGTCAGAGTGTCGTCTGAGTGTCGTCTGAGTGTCGTCAGAGTGTCGTCTGAGTGTCGTCTGAGTGTCGTCTGAGTGTCGTCAGCGTGTCGTCTGAGTGTCGTCTGAGTGTTGTCTGAGTGTCGTCTGAGTGTCGTCAGCGTGATCTGGGAGACGGATGTCACCTGTAGCCCGGGCTCAGGGCGGCTCCGGCCAGCGTGCTCCTCCCGTGTGTGTGTGTGTGGGGTGAAGCAAGGCCGGGCGTTGCAGCCGTGCTCCAGCAGACAGCGCAGGACGCTGAGGTGGTGTGTGTGTGTGAGCAGCGCAGGGAGGGCCTCCACACGGGCCCCGTGCTCCAGCAGCAGAGCTACGCTCTCCACACACCCCTGCTCCGCCGCTAGCACCAGCAGCGGCTCCGCGTCAGGATCGGCTCCGGCCCTCAGCAGCTCCGCGGCCGCCTGCGTGTTCCCGGCGGAGACGGCACAGAGCAGAGCCGAGCCGCAGCCAGAGGAGCGCCGGGTGTTGACGTCACAGCCGGAGCGGATCAGCACACGCAGCGTGTTCAGCTGGTTGTGCTCCGCGGACAGATGGAGCGGAGAGACGCCGCTCTCCCGTAACCGCACGCGGCTGCTCACCGGCAGCAACAGCGACACTATCCTGTGGGAAACACCAGCAGCGCTTAATACAGCAAACAATCATTCTTACAGTCAAGACACTATTCAACTTTTCTTTCTACTGAGAATGTTAGTTGATGTTATCAAATTGAACTAAAACTTGCAGATTTTGCTCACACAGGGCAACAATTTCCCAAAATGATCATTCTTTCCCACCTTATTACACTTGTGTTTGCAGTCAAAAATGACCAGCCTACAAAAAAAGCCTGCATGCCCCTCATCCTCAAAAATAATGTGTGTCTCTCCACCCGGTAAATAATGCGGGCAGGGGTGCACACACATCCTAAACTGCTGCTTCCTCGCCATGACTTTATATATATATATAAGACAAACAACAAATATGACAAGGACCGTTTCACACTGAGTGCTACAGAAGCGGCCCAGATCACACACACCTGCAGCAGCGGATGAAGATCAGGCAGGTGTGTGTGTGTGTGTGTGTGTGTGTGTGTCTGGTGTTCACACTCACTGCTCGTGCCCGTGCTGGCTGGCGATGTGCAGGGGCAGGTGTGTGTGTGTGTGTGTGTGTGTGTCTGGTGTTCACACTCACTGCTCGTGCCCGTGCTGGCTGGCGATGTGCAGGGGCAGGTGTGTGTGTGTGTGTGTGTGTGTGTGTGTGTGTGTGTGTGTGTGTCTGGTGTTCACACTCACTGCTCGTGCCCGTGCTGGCGATGTGCAGGGGCAGGTGTGTGTGTGTGTGTGTGTGTGTGTGTGTGTGTGTGTGGTGTTCACACTCACTGCTCGTGCCCGTGCTGGCTGGCGATGTGCAGGGGCAGGTGTGTGTGTGTGTGTGTGTGTGTGTGTGTGTCTGGTGTTCACACTCACTGCTCGTGCCCGTGCTGGCGATGTGCAGGGGCAGTTGTGTGTGTGTGTGTGTGTGTGTGTGTGTGTGTGGTGTTCACACTCACTGCTCGTGCCCGTGCTGGCTGGCGATGTGCAGGGGCAGGTGTGTGTGTGTGTGTGTGTGTGTGTGTGTGTGTGTGTGTGTGTGTGTGTGTGTGTGTGTGTGTGTGTGTGTTCACACTCACTGCTCGTGCCCGTGCTGGCTGGCGATGTGCAGGGGCAGGTGTGTGTGTGTGTGTGTGTGTGTGTGTGTGTGTGTGTGTGTCTGGTGCTCACACTCACTGCTCGTGCCCGTGCTGGCTGGCGATGTGCAGGGGCAGGTGTGTGTGTGTGTGTGTGTGTGTCTGGTGTTCACACTCACTGCTCGTGCCCGTGCTGGCTGGCGATGTGCAGGGGCAGGTGTGTGTGTGTGTGTGTGTGTGTGTGTGTCTGGTGTTCACACTCACTGCTCGTGCCCGTGCTGGCTGGCGATGTGCAGGGGCAGGTGTGTGTGTGTGTGTGTGTGTGTGTCTGGTGTTCACACTCACTGCTCGTGCCCGTGCTGGCTGGCGATGTGCAGGGGCAGGTGTGTGTGTGTGTGTGTGTGTGTGTGTCTGGTGTTCACACTCACTGCTCGTGCCCGTGCTGGCTGGCGATGTGCAGGGGCAGGTGTGTGTGTGTGTGTGTGTGTGTGTCTGGTGTTCACACTCACTGCTCGTGCCCGTGCTGGCTGGCGATGTGCAGGGGCAGGTGTGTGTGTGTGTGTGTGTGTGTGTGTGTGTGTCTGGTGTTCACACTCACTGCTCGTGCCCGTGCTGGCGATGTGCAGGGGCAGGTGTGTGTGTGTGTGTGTGTGTGTGTGTGGTGTTCACACTCACTGCTCGTGCCCGTGCTGGCTGGCGATGTGCAGGGGCAGGTGTGTGTGTGTGTGTGTGTGTGTGTCTGGTGTTCACACTCACTGCTCGTGCCCGTGCTGGCTGGCGATGTGCAGGGGCAGGTGTGTGTGTGTGTGTGTGTGTGTGTGTGTGTGTGTGTGTGTGTGTCTGGTGTTCACACTCACTGCTCGTGCCCGTGCTGGCTGGCGATGTGCAGGGGCAGGTGTGTGTGTGTGTGTGTGTGTGTGTCTGGTGTTCACACTCACTGCTCGTGCCCGTGCTGGCTGGCGATGTGCAGGGGCAGGTGTGTGTGTGTGTGTGTGTGTGTGTCTGGTGTTCACACTCACTGCTCGTGCCCGTGCTGGCTGGCGATGTGCAGGGGCAGGTGTGTGTGTGTGTGTGTGTGTGTGTGTGTGTTCACACTCACTGCTCGTGCCCGTGCTGGCTGGCGATGTGCAGGGGCAGGTGTGTGTGTGTGTGTGTGTGTGTGTGTGTGTGTGTCTGGTGTTCACACTCACTGCTCGTGCCCGTGCTGGCTGGCGATGTGCAGGGGCAGGTGTGTGTGTGTGTGTGTGTGTGTGTGTGTGTGTGTCTGGTGTTCACACTCACTGCTCGTGCCCGTGCTGGCTGGCGATGTGCAGGGGCAGGTGTGTGTGTGTGTGTGTGTGTGTGTCTGGTGTTCACACTCACTGCTCGTGCCCGTGCTGGCTGGCGATGTGCAGGGGCAGAAGGCCGGCACTGCAGGGTTTGTTGGCGTCGGCGTGGTGTTGGAGCAGAAGCTTGACGGCTTCCCCGTGCCCATGTCTGCAGGCTTCCGTTAGAGCCGTGTTCCCATCACACGTCTGCAGGTTCACACCGGCACCTGACAGGGCAAAACACACAAGCCCTCCTTGAACATCGGGAAATAATGTCTTATGAATGATTTCCTGTTCTGGGATTAATATCTGCTGCTGTCCTGTTATTAGTTTGTGCTTATTCTGAGTCTATCATATTAATTCGCTTTATATGAAGAGTGTACAAAATACTCAAAAATAATCGTAAACTTCTTTGTCAAATTAAATAGTATATGAGCGGTTCATTTTTATTGGGTTTGTCATTTTTGGGATACACCAAGTATTGTGAATTTTTAGCGTATATTAAGCAGTAATTAAGTAAGGATTAGTTCATTTAAACATCTCTGTTATTGATAAATGTACCATTACCTTACATTAAAGAAAAATACGAGTTTGATTTGTCATATTTGTCTATTTGTCTTAAAATAAAAATATTTGGATTTACAAGTGCAATCAAGCTAACATATACAGCTAAATATTGTGTTTTTAGTCATCCGAATTAGTTGACGATAAATAACATTGGTAACACTTTACAATAAGGTTCATTTATTAAACATTAATTAACATGAACTAACCATGAGCAATACATTTGTTACTGTTTTTGTTAATCTTTGTTAACGTTAGTTAATCCAAATCCAGCTGTTCATTCTTTGTTCATGTTAGTTCACAGTGCATTAACTAATGTTAACAAGATTTTAATAAAGTATTAGTAAATGTTGAAATTAACAAAGATTAACAAATGCTGAAGAAGTTCATTCTTAGTTAATGTTAACTAATGTAGTTAACTAATGAACCTTATTGTAAAGTGTTACCAAAATATTTTTACCACAACAAATTTTCACAATGAAAATCAATTCAGTAAATTGTCCAGATGAAGATGCTGTATGATTCTGTGAAATGCAGAGAGGAAGGGCGAGGCCTCTGACAGACGGAAATCACAATCTTATAGATTTAGGGTTTGTGTTTAAAAGTAGCTTTGTTTTAAACTTAAGTTATAATGTAATAATGTTTATAATATTTCAAATAGGTTTTGCTACAGAAAACATGGAATTTGTGCTTCTAAAGTTTTTAAGAACAGTCACATGACACCAAAGTCAAACCTATTGCTCAAACTACTATTCTCATTAACATGATTTTAAAGTCATTGGATTTTTTGAGAGAATCCAATAGCATGAGGTTCAGTACCGTTCCGGATCAGGTACGCAAGCGCCTCTGTCCGTCCGTGTCGCGCGGCTTCGATGGCGGGTGTGACGTCGTCAGCGTTACGGGCGTCGACGGCGGCTCTGGCCTGAAGGAGCGTCTGGCAGAGCGCGATGTTGTTCCGTCTCGCGGCTTCATGCAGCGCCGTCCAACCTCGCCGACAGCGCTGATTCACCGACGCTCCACACGCTAGCAGCAGCTGCACCATACCGACACACTCCTGCTCACACGCTGCACATGAGGAACACACACACACACACTTACTCCATACCGACACACTCCTGCTCACACGCTGCACATGAGGAACACACACACACACACTTACTCCATACCGACACACTCCTGCTCACACGCTGCACATGAGGAACACACACACACACACTTACTCCATACCGACACACTCCTGCTCACACGCTGCACATGAGGAACACACACACACACACTTACTCCATACCGACACACTCCTGCTCACACGCTGCACATGAGGAACACACACACACACTTACTCCATACCGACACACTCCTGCTCACACGCTGCACATGAGGAACACACACACACACACTTACTCCATACCGACACACTCCTGCTCACACGCTGCACATGAGGAACACACACACACTTACTCCATACCGACACACTCCTGCTCACACGCTGCACATGAGGAGGAACACACACACACACACACACATTTACTCCATACCGACACACTCCTGCTCACACGCTGCACATGAGGAGGAACACACACACACACACACTTACTCCATACCGACACACTCCTGCTCACACGCTGCACATGAGGAGGAACACACACACACACACTTACTCCATACCGACACACTCCTGCTCACACGCTGCACATGAGGAACACACACACACACTTACTCCATACCGACACACTCCTGCTCACACGCTGCACATGAGGAACACACACACACACTTACTCCATACCGACACACTCCTGCTCACACGCTGCACATGAGGAGGAACACACACACACACTTACTCCATACCGACACACTCCTGCTCACACGCTGCACATGAGGAGGAACACACACACACACACTTACTCCATACCGACACACTCCTGCTCACACGCTGCACATGAGGAGGAACACACACACACACACTTACTCCATACCGACACACTCCTGCTCACACGCTGCACATGAGGAACACACACACACACTTACTCCATACCGACACACTCCTGCTCACACGCTGCACATGAGGAACACACACACACACACACTTATTCCATACCGACACACTCCTGCTCACACGCTGCACATGAGGAGGAACACACACACACACTTACTCCATACCGACACACTCCTGCTCACACGCTGCACATGAGGAACACACACACACACACTTACTCCATACCGACACACTCCTGCTCACACGCTGCACATGAGGAGGAACACACACACACACTTACTCCATACCGACACACTCCTGCTCACACGCTGCACATGAGGAACACACACACACACTTACTCCATACCGACACACTCCTGCTCACACGCTGCACATGAGGAACACACACACACACACACTTACTCCATACCGACACACTCCTGCTCACACGCTGCACATGAGGAGGAACACACACACACACACTTACTCCATACCGACACACTCCTGCTCACACGCTGCACATGAGGAACACACACACACACACTTACTCCATACCGACACACTCCTGCTCACACGCTGCACATGAGGAGGAACACACACACACACTTACTCCATACCGACACACTCCTGCTCACACGCTGCACATGAGGAACACACACACACACTTACTCCATACCGACACACTCCTGCTCACACGCTGCACATGAGGAGGAACACACACACACACTTACTCCATACCGACACACTCCTGCTCACACGCTGCACATGAGGAGGAACACACACACACACTTACTCCATACCGACACACTCCTGCTCACACGCTGCACATGAGGAACACACACACACACTTACTCCATACCGACACACTCCTGCTCACACGCTGCACATGAGGAACACACACACACACTTACTCCATACCGACACACTCCTGCTCACACGCTGCACATGAGGAACACACACACACACTTACTCCATACCGACACACTCCTGCTCACACGCTGCACATGAGGAGGAACACACACACACACTTACTCCATACCGACACACTCCTGCTCACACGCTGCACATGAGGAGGAACACACACACACACTTACTCCATACCGACACACTCCTGCTCACACGCTGCACATGAGGAGGAACACACACACACACTTACTCCATACCGACACACTCCTGCTCACACGCTGCACATGAGGAACACACACACACTTACTCCATACCGACACACTCCTGCTCACACACTGCACATGAGGAGGAACACACACACACTTACTCCATACCGACACACTCCTGCTCACACACTGCACATGAGGAGGAACACACACACACACTTACTCCATACCGACACACTCCTGCTCACACGCTGCACATGAGGAACACACACACACTTACTCCATACCGACACACTCCTGCTCACACGCTGCACATGAGGAACACACACACACACACACTTACTCCATACCGACACACTCCTGCTCACACGCTGCACATGAGGAGGAACACACACACACACTTACTCCATACCGACACACTCCTGCTCACACGCTGCACATGAGGAGGAACACACACACACACTTACTCCATACCGACACACTCCTGCTCACACGCTGCACATGAGGAACACACACACACTTACTCCATACCGACACACTCCTGCTCACACACTGCACATGAGGAGGAACACACACACACACACACTTACTCCATACCGACATACTCCTGCTCACACGCTGCACATGAGGAACACACACACACACTTACTCCATACCGACACACTCCTGCTCACACGCTGCACATGAGGAGGAACACACACACACACTTACTCCATACCGACACACTCCTGCTCACACGCTGCACATGAGGAGGAACACACACACACACTTACTCCATACCGACACACTCCTGCTCACACGCTGCACATGAGGAACACACACACACACTTACTCCATACTGACACACTCCTGCTCACACGCTGCACATGAGGAGGAACACACACACACACTTACTCCATACCGACACACTCCTGCTCACACGCTGCACATGAGGAGGAACACACACACACACATTTACTCCATACCGACACACTCCTGCTCACACGCTGCACATGAGGAGGAACACACACACACTTACTCCATACCGACACACTCCTGCTCACACGCTGCACATGAGGAGGAACACACACACACACTTACTCCATACCGACACACTCCTGCTCACACGCTGCACATGAGGAACACACACACACTTACTCCATACCGACACACTCCTGCTCACACGCTGCACATGAGGAACACACACACACACACACACACACACTTACTCCATACCGACACACTCCTGCTCACACGCTGCACATGAGGAGGAACACACACACACACTTACTCCATACCGACACACTCCTGCTCACACGCTGCACATGAGGAACACACACACTTACTCCATACCGACACACTCCTGCTCACACGCTGCACATGAGGAGGAACACACACACACACTTACTCCATACCGACACACTCCTGCTCACACGCTGCACATGAGGAACACACACACACTTACTCCATACCGACACACTCCTGCTCACACACTGCACATGAGGAGGAACACACACACACACTTACTCCATACCGACATACTCCTGCTCACACGCTGCACATGAGGAACACACACACACTTACTCCATACCGACACACTCCTGCTCACACGCTGCACATGAGGAACACACACACACACACACTTACTCCATACCGACACACTCCTGCTCACACGCTGCACATGAGGAACACACACACTTACTCCATACCGACACACTCCTGCTCACACGCTGCACATGAGGAGGAACACACACACACACTTACTCCATACCGACACACTCCTGCTCACACGCTGCACATGAGGAGGAACACACACACACTTACTCCATACCGACACACTCCTGCTCACACGCTGCACATGAGGAGGAACACACACACACACTTACTCCATACCGACACACTCCTGCTCACACGCTGCACATGAGGAACACACACACACACACACTTACTCCATACCGACACACTCCTGCTCACACGCTGCACATGAGGAGGAACACACACACACACTTACTCCATACCGACACACTCCTGCTCACACGCTGCACATGAGGAGGAACACACACACACACTTACTCCATACCGACACACTCCTGCTCACACGCTGCACATGAGGAGGAACACACACACACTTACTCCATACCGACACACTCCTGCTCACACGCTGCACATGAGGAGGAACACACACACACACTTACTCCATACCGACACACTCCTGCTCACACGCTGCACATGAGGAGGAACACACACACACATTTACTCCATACCGACACACTCCTGCTCACACGCTGCACATGAGGAGGAACACACACACACACTTACTCCATACCGACACACTCCTGCTCACACGCTGCACATGAGGAGGAACACACACACACACTTACTCCATACCGACACACTCCTGCTCACACGCTGCACATGAGGAGGAACACACACACACAAATTTACTCCATACCGACACACTCCTGCTCACACGCTGCACATGAGGAACACACACACACACACTTACTCCATACCGACACACTCCTGCTCACACGCTGCACATGAGGAGGAACACACACACACACTTACTCCATACCGACACACTCCTGCTCACACGCTGCACATGAGGAACACACACACACACTTACTCCATACCGACACACTCCTGCTCACACGCTGCACATGAGGAACACACACACACACACACTTACTCCATACCGACACACTCCTGCTCACACGCTGCACATGAGGAGGAACACACACACACACTTACTCCATACCGACACACTCCTGCTCACACGCTGCACATGAGGAACACACACACACACTTACTCCATACCGACACACTCCTGCTCACACGCTGCACATGAGGAGGAACACACACACACACTTACTCCATACCGACACACTCCTGCTCACACGCTGCACATGAGGAACACACACACACACTTACTCCATACCGACACACTCCTGCTCACACGCTGCACATGAGGAGGAACACACACACACTTACTCCATACCGACACACTCCTGCTCACACGCTGCACATGAGGAGGAACACACACACACTTACTCCATACCGACAGACTCCTGCTCACACGCTGCACATGAGGAGGAACACACACACACACTTACTCCATACCGACACACTCCTGCTCACACACTGCACATGAGGAGAAACATACACACACATTTACTCCATACCGACACACTCCTACTCACACGCTGCACATGAGGAGGAACGACCTGAACGACCTGTACGACCTGAACGACCTGTATGAGCTGAACGACCTGTACAACTGGTACAACCCCTGAACGACTCCTGAATGACCTAAACGACCTGAACAACCCCTGAATGACCTGCACGACCCCTGAATGACCCGAACAACCCCTGAATAACCCCTGAATAACCCCTGAATGAGCTGAACGACCTGAACGACCTGTACGACCTGAACGACCCCTGAATGACCTAAACGACCTGAACGACGTGTATGAGCTGAACGACCTGTACAACCCCTGATTGACCTAAACGACTTGAACGACCTGTATGAGCTGAACGACCCCTGAATGGCCTAAACGACCTGAACGACCTGTATGAGCTGAACGACCTGTACAACTGGTACAACCCCTGAACGACTCCTGAATGACCTAAACGACCTGAACAACCCCTGAATGACCCGAACAACCCCTGAATAACCCCTGAATAACCCCTGAATGAGCTGAACGACCTGTACGACCTGAACGACCCCTGAATGACCTAAACGACCTGAGCGACGTGTACAACCCCTGAATGACCTAAACGACTTGAACGACCTGTATGAGCTGACCGACCCCTGAATGGCCTAAACGACCTGAACGACGTGTATGAGCTGAACGACCTGTACAACCCCTGAATGACCTAAACGACTTGAACGACCTGTATGAGCTGAACGACCCCTGAATGGCCTAAACGACCTGACCGACCCCTGAATGAGCTGAACGACCTGTACAACCGGTACAACCCCCGAACGACTCCTGAATGACCTAAACGACCTGAACGACCCCTGAATTACACGAACGACCCCTGATTGACCTGAACGACCCCTGAATGACCCGAACGACCCCTGACCGACCCCTGAATGAGCTGAACGACCTGTACAACCGGTACAACCCCTGAACGACTCCTGAATGACCTAAACGACCTGAACAACCCCTGAATGACCTGCACGACCCCTGAATGACCCGAACAACCCCTGAATAACCCCTGAACGACTCCTGAATGACCTAAACGACCTGAACGACCCCTGAATTACACGAACGACCTCTGAATGACCTGAACGACCCCGGAATGACCCGAACGACCCCTGACCGACCCCTGAATGAGCTGAACGACCTGTACAACCAGGACAACCCCTGAACGACCCCTGAATGACCTGAACGACCCCTGAATTACACGAACGACCCCTGAATGACCCGAACGACCCATAAACGACCCCTGAATGAGCTGAACGACCTGTACAACCAGTACAACCCCTGAACGACTCCTGAATTGCCTAAACGACCTGAACGACCCCTGAATTACCTGAACGACTCCTGAATGACCTGAACAACACCTGAACGACCCCTGAATGAGCTGACCGACCTGTATGACCTGAACGACCCCTGAATGACCTGTATGACCTGAACGACCCCTGAATGAGCTGAACGACCCGAACGACCTGTATGAGCTGAACGACCCCTGAATGGCCTAAACGATCTGACCGACCCCTGAATGAGCTGAACGACCTGTACAACCGGTACAACCCCTGAACGACTCCTGAATGACCTAAACGACCTGAACGACCCCTGAGTTACACGAACGACCCCTGAAATGACCTGAACGACCCCTGAATGACCCGAACGACCCCTGACCGACCCCTGAATGAGCTGAACGGCCTGTACAACCGGTACAACCCCTGAATGACCTAAACGACCTGAATGACCCCTGAATTACACGAACGACCCCTGAATGACCTGAACGACCCCTGAATGACCCAAACGACCCCTAAACGACCCCTGAATGAGCTGAACGACCTGTACAACCAGTACAACCCCTGAACGACTCCTGAATTGCCTAAACGACCTGAACGACCCCTGAATTACTTGAACGACTCCTAAATGACCTGAACAACACCTAAACGACCCCTGAATGAGCTGAACGACCTGTATGACCTGAACGACCCCTGAATGACCTGTATGACCTGAACGACCCCTGAATGAGCTGAACGACCTGAACGACCCGAACGACCTGTATGACCTGAACGACCCCTGAATGACCTAAACGACCTGAACGACCCCTGAATTACACGAACGACCCCTGAATGACCTGAACGACCCCTGAATGACCCGAACGACCCCTAAACGACCCCTGAATGAGCTGAACGACCTGTACAACCAGTATAACCCCTGAACGACTCCTGAATTACCTAAACGACCTGAATGACCCCTGAATTACACGAACGACTCCTGAATGACCTGAACAACCCCTGAATGACCCCTGAATGAGCTGACGGACCTGAACGACCTGAACGACCTGTACTACCTGAACGACCCCTGAATGAGCTGAACGACTTGAACAACCCCTGAATGACCTGTATGACCTGAACGACCCCTGAATGAGCTGAACGACCCGAACGACCTGTATGACCTGAACGACCTCTGAATGAGCTGAACGACCCGAACGACCTGTATGACCTGAACGACCCCTGAATGACCTAAGCGACCTGAACGACCCCTGAATTACACGAACGACCCCTGAATGACCTGAACGACCCCTGAATGACCCAAACGACCCCTGAACGACCCCTGAATGAGCTGAACAACCTGTACAATCAGTACAACCCCTGAACGACTCCTGAAATACCTAAACGACCTGAACGACCCCTGAATTACACGAATGACTCCTGAATGACCTGAACGACCCCTGAACGACCCCTGAATGACCCGAACGACCCCTAAACGACTCCTGAATTACCTAAACGACCTGAACGACCCCTGAATTACACGAATGACTCCTGAATGACCTGAACAACCCCGGAATGACCCCTGAATGAGCTGACCGACCTGAACGACCTGAACGACCCCTGAATGAGCTGAACGACCTGAACGACCTGTATGACCTGAACGACCACTGAATGAGCTGAACGACCCGAACGACCTGTATGACCTGAACGACCCCTGAATGAGCTGAACGACCCGAACGACCTGTATGACCTGAACGACCTGTACTACCTGAACGACCCCTGAATGACCTGGACGACCTGAACGACCCCTGAATGACCTGAACGACCCCTGAACGACCTAAATGAGCGCACCTTTATAAAGCGGCGTCTCTTTGTTCTTGTTGCTGATATCGGGGTCGGCTCCTGCTTCCAGAAGAATCCTCACACAGTCCAGGTGTCGTCCGTGAACCGCGATCATCAGAGCCGTCTGTTCCTGAAGCGTGCGCTTGTCCACACACACGCCTCGAGCTGCACACACACACACACACACACACACACACACACACACACACACACACACACACACATCATTAATCAGCACAAGCATCAGGACTGCAGTAGATGACCAATGACTAACACAGTAAAACACAACACTAGAGCGGCTCAACCTGTTCAACAAGGGCATGGGTTTGTTTTCTGGAAATTCCTCAGAAAGGTTAGCGAGAAAAAGCCTGTGGCAATGCAAGTGTGTGAGAGACAGTAATGTAGAACAAGTGTGTGTGAGACAGTGATTTACCTTTCAGCAGCGCTTGAACACAGAGTGTCTGCCCGCAGTGAGCAGCTTCATGCAGTGCCGTCCAGTCGTCAGCGTCACACACCGATGCTAGTTCCCTCACTCGCTGCACATCTCCTCTCCTCACCGCACAGATCAGCCTGAGGGAGAACAGATCATCACTGACCGGGGCTAGTCGTCACAGGGGCTCAGGGGCCGGGGCTATTTGTCACAGGGGCTCAGGGGCCGGGGCTAGTCGTCACAGGGGCTCAGGGGCTCAGGGGCCGGGGCTAGTCGTCACAGGGGCTCAGGGGCCGGGGCCAGTCGTCACAGGGGCTCAGGGGCCGGGGCCGGTCGTCTCAGGGGCTCAGGGGCCGGTCGTCACAGGGGCTCAGGGGCCGGGGCCAGTCGTCACAGGGGCTCAGGGGCCGGGGCCAGTCGTCTCAGGGGCCGGGGCCAGTCTTCACAGGGGCTCAGGGGCCGGGGCCAGTCGTCTCAGGGGGCGGGGATAGTCGTCACAGGGGCTCAGGGGCCGGGGCCAGTCGTCACAGGGGCTCAGGGCCGGGGCCGGGGCCAGTCGTCATAGGGGCTCAGGGGCCGGGGCCAGTCATCACAGGGGCTCAGGGGCCGGGGCCAGTCGTCACAGGGGCCGGGGTCAGTCGTCACAGGGGCTCAGGGGCCGGGGCCAGTCGTCACACAGTCGTCACAGGGGCCGGGGCCAGTCGTCACAGGGGCTCAGGGGCCGGGGTCAGTCATCATAGGGGCTCAGGGGCCGGGGCCAGTCGTCATAGGGGCTCAGGGGCCGGGGCCAGTCATCACAGGGGCTCAGGGGCCGGGGCCAGTCGTCACAGGGGCCGGGGTCAGTCGTCACAGGGGCTCAGGGGCCGGGGCCAGTCGTCACAGGGGCTCAGGGGCCGGGACTGGGGCCAGTCGTCACAGGGGCTCAGGGGCCGGGGCCAGTCGTCACAGGGGCTCAGGGGCCGGGGCCAGTCGTCACACAGTCGTCACAGGGGCCGGGGTCAGTCGTCACAGGGGCTCAGGGGCCGGGGCCAGTCGTCACACAGTCGTCACAGGGGCCGGGGTCAGTCGTCACAGGGGCTCAGGGGCCGGGGCCAGTCGTCACACAGTCGTCACAGGGGCCGGGGTCAGTCGTCACAGGGGCTCAGGGGCCGGGGCCAGTCGTCACAGGGGCTCAGGGGCCGGGACTGGGGCCAGTCGTCACAGGGGCTCAGGGGCCGGGGCCAGTCGTCACAGGGGCTCAGGGGCCGGGGCCAGTCGTCACACAGTCGTCACAGGGGCCGGGGTCAGTCGTCACAGGGGCTCAGGGGCCGGGGCCAGTCGTCACACAGTCGTCACAGGGGCCGGGGTCAGTCGTCACAGGGGCTCAGGGGCCGGGGCCAGTCGTCACACAGTCGTCACAGGGGCCGGGGTCAGTCGTCACAGGGGCTCAGGGGCCGGGGCCAGTCGTCACACAGTCGTCACAGGGGCCGGGGTCAGTCGTCACAGGGGCTCAGGGGCCGGGGCCAGTCGTCACACAGTCGTCACAGGGGCCGGGGTCAGTCGTCACAGGGGCTCAGGGGCCGGGGCCAGTCGTCACACAGTCGTCACAGGGGCCGGGGTCAGTCGTCACAGGGGCTCAGGGGCCGGGGCCAGTCGTCACACAGTCGTCACAGGGGCCGGGGTCAGTCGTCACAGGGGCTCAGGGGCCGGGGCCAGTCGTCACACAGTCGTCACAGGGGCCGGGGTCAGTCGTCACAGGGGCTCAGGGGCCGGGGCCAGTCGTCACACAGTCGTCACAGGGGCCGGGGTCAGTCGTCACAGGGGCTCAGGGGCCGGGGCCAGTCGTCACACAGTCGTCACAGGGGCCGGGGTCAGTCGTCACAGGGGCTCAGGGGCCGGGGCCAGTCGTCACAGGGGCTCAGGGGCCGGGTCACTCATCATAGGGGCTCAGGGGCCGGGGCCAGTCGTCACAGGGGCTCAGAGACAGAAATGCTTGTTTTCTCCAGCAGTGTTTTTTTTTTTAGAAATCTCTTAAACTGAAATAGTGAGTTCTGTCCTCCAGGCTAGATTTACAGTAAATAATTCTATTTTTGTAATATCTACTAAATAAAATGAACGCACATAGACATCCATTAAGACACAATTTAGGCATATGTGAATGGAAATCTAAATCTAAATCTGTGTATTCTGACAAGATTCATTTAGTCACCTGTGTTTTATGTGTGATATTATATATTTCTGATAGTTAAAATATGTTCATGTATATTTTCTCTTTGCATGTTTCATTAATTGTATTTCCTAGTCGTTTTACTATGTGGCCAGAAAGCCCGTAATATGGATTTTAATAGCAGGGTCCATTGTAACACCTTACCCCAGGCACAGATGCACAGATGACTCGCTATAGCGGTCTCGACGTGTAAAGAGACATGATTTAAAACTCAACTCATTCTGAGAAACACTGACTGGCCTGAGTGTGACAACTAGCCCCGGCGAACACGGAACACGGTGAGATTTGAGCTGTCACAAAACACCCGCTTTAAGTGACAGCTGAAGGTCATGAGGAACAAACCTGTCACACACCTGTCATATTCTGATACCATATAAACCGTATAAACTGAACCATTTGAGCTTGTTCTGTTGATGAACAAACTGGCATAGTAAACGCACACACACACACACACACACACACACGCGGACTGAAGGACTCACTCTGTCGGCTCGATGTCTCTCTCAGATGATGTGGTTTTCTGCGGTGATGAGTTTCGTTTTGTGTCATTTGTTCGAAATAAGGAGATATATTCGGCATAACTGAATCGTGTCATCGTGTCGTGTTATTGTCACACAGCGCGCGTGGACAGACAAAGGCGCGCGCGCGCGTGTGTGTGTGTGTGTTCGGCGCTCAGCTGTTCGTTCACTGGGCTAATTTTAGTTCGTCTTGACACGCGAGGACTGGAGTTTACCTTATTTGTCTGTGCACTCCACCAGCTCAGATAACGTGATAATAGCGTACAGTGGAATTACTGCGGGATGAGGAAAACTGGTTCATCTTCAGATCGCATCAGGTCTTTTGTTTCATTCCTCGGAAAGGGAAAGAGAAAGAGGAAGAGCAGTTCAGATTCTGGATCTGTCACCATTCCAAATTAACTCGTTGTGTGTGTGTGTGTGTGTGTGTGTGTGTGTGTGTGTGGATATCCTCTGATGTCTCGTCACGCGTGTCAGATGATGACGACACTAGTGCATGTGAGCCTGTTTGTTTGTTTGTTTGTTACATTTTTAGGCAAACAGGTTTTCTGCTGCACATGCAGATCATGTAATATTGAGTAAATGGTAAAGAAACTGACACTGTATTTAAAATCATGCAGTGTTTTCACATGTGTGACTCCTCATCATGTGTGATGTTCAGATCTGCTCTGATGCCTTTTATGGACACGATCCTCAGTTCTCACACACACACACACACACACACACACACACACACACACACACACACACACGATCCTCAGTTCAGCTTCACTTCCACTCGAGACATTTATCATCACTGTCACTGATTACATTCACACTATAAACACACACACAGACACACTCTCTCTGTCTCTCTCTCTCTCTCTCTCTCTCTCTCTCTCTCTCTCTCTCTCTCTCTCTCTCTCTCTCTCTCTCTCTCTCTCTCTCTCTCTCTCACACACACACATTTTTATTGGGAAATATCAGAACTACTTTGTTAAGAATATATAATAGCACAAATCTTACAGGACGACAGTAAAAAGGAAAAGAGTATTTCTTGAATATGTAAATCTGCCGTAATGTACAGTGTTCAGCAGAAGAGTTCACATTATAGAGTCAGAGGATTCAACACTCTCACACACTGCAGTGTTTAAACATCCAGCATTTCCTCTTATGAACCATCAAAAACAAATACTTCAGAAAGTCAAGTCTCCTTCATTTATACAGCGCTTTAACAATATAGAGTTTCACAGCAGCTTTACAGTGATAACAGGAGATTACAGTAACTGAGAGTGTTTAGGCTTTACAGCAGCTCTAGAATAAAGTTATTGTCCAGATAAAGTTAGTTTTGATTGATTCACTTCCGTCGCAACGATCATTAGTTGTTAACTTAGCGGCCGCTAACACGACACCGCTCTCACAGAAAACATGAGCCTGTGAGAACGCTGATGGCACATGCGCATTAAGAGCTCATTCTATAGGTGTGTGCGTTTGAATATATGTGCGCAGGCATGGAGTCCTTCCCTAAAAACCAACCATCAACAAACTACTTGTCTGGCCTTAAAATTTATAATACAGAATGTCATCGCTTCGGCGTAGCCACACGAACCGGCATTATCCCGACAGCGATTATCTGTGCAGAGGAGAAGCAGGAGGCCTAGGAGAGACTAGTGACACTTCAGACGCAGGTCCATCATCAGATCTGGAGTGTGTGTGTGTGTGTGTGTGTGTGTGTGTGTGTGTGTGTGTGTGTGTGTGTGTGTGTGTGTGTGTGTGTGTGTGTGTGTGTGTGTGTCCAGATGCTGGTCCATCATCAGATCTGGTGTGTGTGTGTGTGTGTGTGTGTGTGTGTGTGTGTGTGTGTGTGTGTGTGTGTGTGTGTGTCCAGGCGCAGGTCCTTCGTCAGATCTGGACACGGCCTGGATCCGGCAGGCTGCGGGAAAACCTCGGGATAAACAAAGACACTAATATTAGCGTAGATGCCATTCTTCTTATGATGTAACGAGTACATCTAGATTTAAGGGAAGTGTTCCCAGTTCCGGCTGACCTAATCTATGCAGCCTAACATTGAATTATAGAAGTCTATAGTGTATTATGTGTATGCTAGGCCAAAGAGATGTGTTTTTAGTCTAGCTTTGAACTGACAGACTGTGTCTGCTTCCCGGACAATGGTAGGAAGACTGTTCCAAAGTTTTGGTGCTAAATAGGAAAAGGATCTCCCGCCTGCAGTCGATTTAGATATTCTAGGTATTATCAACTGGCCGGAGTTTAGAGATCGCAATAGACGTGAAGGACTATAATGCTTTAAGAGCTCGCTCAAGTACTGGGAGCTAAACCATTTAGTGCTTTGTAGGTAATCAACAATATTTTAATATGTATACGATGTTTAATAGGCAGCCAATGCAGTGTTGACAGAACCGGGCTAATATGGTCATACTTCCTGGTTCTGGTAAGAACTCGAGCTGCGGCGTTTTGAACCAGCTGTAGTTTGTTTATTAAGCGTGCAGGGCAACCACCCAGTAGAGCATTACAGTAATCTAGCCTTGAGGTCATGAACGCATTAACTAATTGTTCTGCATTTGTTAGTGAGAGCATATGGCGTAATTTAGATATATTTTTAAGATGGAAAATGCGGTTTTACAGATGCTAGACACGTGACTTTAAATGAAAGATTGCTATCAAACAGCACACACACACACACACACACCGACGACGAAGACCTGGCAGAGCAGCCATTAAGTGTTAGACTGTAAAAGTGAGCTTCGGTCCACAGAACAGGAATATCCCTGCAACAACACACTCATGCTGACCCCCGTCTGACCTTTGACCTCTGAGAGCCGCTGAAACACCTGAGGACTCAAATATAGAAGATCTGAATCTCAGTCATCAAAGTGTACTGAGCTCCTGTATGTTTAACATAGTAAATATAAACTCTCCATGTTTTATTTTACATAAGCATATTCTACTGTTCAATGTCGAAGTATAGCCCCAGCTAACAAAAAAAAACGTTCCCAGAACGTCTTCGTGTAGGGTTCTTTAAACGTTCCCAGAACGTCTTCGTGTAGGGTTCTTTAAACGTTCCCAGAACGTCTTCGTGTAGGGTTCTTTAAACGTTCGCAGAACGTCTTCGTGTAGGGTTCTTTAAACGTTCGCAGAACGTCTTCGTGTAGGGTTCTTTAAACGTCCCCTGAACGTCTTCGTGTAGGGTTCTTTAAACGTTCCCAGAACGTCTTCGTGTAGGGTTCTTTAAACGTTCCCAGAACGTCTTCGTGTAGGGTTCTTTAAACGTTCCCAGAACGTCTTCGTGTAGGGTTCTTTAAACGTTCGCAGAACGTCTTCGTGTAGGGTTCTTTAAACGTTCCCAGAACGTCTTCGTGTAGGGTTCTTTAAACGTTCCCAGAACGTCTTCGTGTAGGGTTCTTTAAACGTTCCCTGAACGTCTTCGTGTAGGGTTCTTTAAACGTTCGCAGAACGTCTTCGTGTAGGGTTCTTTAAACGTTCCCAGAACGTCTTCGTGTAGGGTTCTTTAAACGTTCGCAGAACGTCTTCGTGTAGGGTTCTTTAAACGTTCGCAGAACGTCTTCGTGTAGGGTTCTTTAAACGTTCCCAGAACGTCTTCGTGTAGGGTTCTTTAAACGTTCCCAGAACGTCTTCGTGTAGGGTTCTTTAAACGTTCGCAGAACGTCTTCGTGTAGGGTTCTTTAAACGTTCGCAGGACTTCTTCGTGTAGGGTTCTTTAAACGTTCCCAGAACGTCTTCGTGTAGGGTTCTTTAAACGTTCGCAGAACGTCTTCGTGTAGGGTTCTTTAAACGTTCGCAGAACGTCTTCGTGTAGGGTTCTTTAAACGTCCCCTGAACGTCTTCGTGTAGGGTTCTTTAAACGTTCCCAGAACGTCTTCGTGTAGGGTTCTTTAAACGTTCCCAGAACGTCTTCGTGTAGGGTTCTTTAAACGTTCGCAGAACGTCTTCGTGTAGGGTTCTTTAAACGTTCCCAGAACGTCTTCGTGTAGGGTTCTTTAAACGTTCCCAGAACGTCTTCGTGTAGGGTTCTTTAAACGTTCCCTGAACGTCTTCGTGTAGGGTTCTTTAAACGTTCGCAGAACGTCTTCGTGTAGGGTTCTTTAAACGTTCCCAGAACGTCTTCGTGTAGGGTTCTTTAAACGTTCGCAGAACGTCTTCGTGTAGGGTTCTTTAAACGTTCGCAGAACGTCTTCGTGTAGGGTTCTTTAAACGTTCCCAGAACGTCTTCGTGTAGGGTTCTTTAAACGTTCCCAGAACGTCTTCGTGTAGGGTTCTTTAAACGTTCGCAGAACGTCTTCGTGTAGGGTTCTTTAAACGTTCGCAGAACGTCTTCGTGTAGGGTTCTTTAAACGTTCCCAGAACGTCTTCGTGTAGGGTTCTTTAAACGTTCCCAGAACGTCTTCGTGTAGGGTTCTTTAAACGTTCGCAGAACGTCTTCGTGTAGGGTTCTTTAAACGTTCGCAGGACTTCTTCGTGTAGGGTTCTTTAAACGTTCGCAGGACGTCGTGGGGGACCTTCGCGGGTCGTTTAGAAAACTTTCGGAGACCTTTACGGAACGTTCACTAGAAGTCCTTTTAACATCTTAACACCCTTTTATAGTGTAGCATTAGTCTGATAACACAACATTGAACAACCAAGGAACAAACACACAACAAGGAATATCAGGAAACAAAAATACTTTTATTTCCGTTAACAAAAAAAGTGCGTGTGTGTGTGTGTGTGTGTTGCGTGTCGCCAAGTTTCCAGCTGAAACGCGTTACTCCTCCACATCTGATTCCACCCGTAAGCTTGGAACCTAAAACAAAGTAACAAAATGTAAACCTTTAGGTTTTATTTTAAATACAGCTATTTTTATATAATTTAAATATTTTTAAATGGGCTACAGGGGATCATTGTGCCCTAGGCTATTCACGAACACATTGTGCGGTTATACTTTGTTTTACGGTGTCATTGCAGTGTAATTATATATTTAAGTAATATACATGTACTTACTATAGAGTTAGGGTAGGGTTAGGGTTTGGTTGAGGGTTAGTTGCATGTAATTATGCATAATTAACTGTTAATACTATTGTAAGTACATGTAACATATGTAACAAGGACACTGTAAAATAAAGTGTTACATCGTACCCACTGTCTGTTTGCATAGACACACGACACAAGCACAGCATAGAGATTTAT